GTTTTCTGAAGCAGATACCCCAGCCTTTCTTCCTAGTTGAACGTAGTCTAGAAGTCCTGAAACCTGCTCAGCATCATAGCACCACAGCAGTCTCCACTCACTGACGGGGAGTGGGCACAAACAAGATGCATTGGCCAGGAATTGAATCTGAGCCTTATGTATGGCAGGTGAGAATGCTACCATTGAACTACCAGTACTCCCATCGGGTCCTGATAGCGCGAATAGCTGTAAACGTTTTCTGAGAGGACTACATCAAGAACATCATTATCATAGTCTGCACATTACTAGGGATGGCCATGTGGCCACTGGATAAGAGCCTTGGGATGGCTCATGTCTGAGATGATAGGGGAATGGGTACCACTGGGTTCATGAAAGCTGCTTCAGGGTGAAATTTAGGTGTGCCCTTGGATGGCAGATTGTCCAGTTCTGACTATACATTCTCACATCGCAAGCAACTATCCAACTCCATCAACAGGGCAGTGAGCAAATTAGGTTATGGGCTATGAATATTATATACTTACTGATTTCCAACATCTTAATGAGTTCCATTCCACTGAGATGGGGAAAGCAGCCAAGCTTTCTATATACAAAAACCCTCTGGAGAGTCACTGTTGGTGAACAAAGTTCTAGTACCTGATACATTCTCACTTATTTGTAACAAGGATGTGAAGGCACAGGATTAGAAATCATCACAGCAACATTAAAGAGGGGTCCGACTCTTCTACCACATACGATTTCAGTGTCTTTGGAAATCAGTAAATGGTATGTGATATATAAGGCCACTTTATTTTGAATAGGGAAAATTGGCTCCCAATTTAACCCTGTCCCTTCCCTTGACTGCACAGTGACAAAGAGTTTGCTATGCTTTGGAAACTGGGAATCCAGCACAATCCTTCATCAGCATTCTCTCTCCCCTGACAGAACATCGCATGTTCTTCTCATCTACAGATGGGCCACAAGAGTGTTTCTGGGTTAAGGGAGTGGAAGTTGAAGCTTGCCAACTTTACTTCCTGTGTTTCCGTTGTCTTCTTTGAGGGTTCAGAAATGCCCTTTGGAAGCAAGGCAAGCTCTCGCACGTTACACAGTATGGTCCTCGTGGGATCCAGCACTTCTTAAATTAAAAAGAACATCAGGGTGGGTGTGGGCTGAGATTCTCCATTTCCATTAAGCTCTTGGCTGGGGCTGCTGCTGTACAGGATCATGCAAGGCTAGGGAGAGGTGTCATCACAGGGTTAACGGTTCATTATGCTATGGTGGCTTGTGTTTTGCTATGTTGCTGGAAGCCGTGGAGATTCCAGAATGAAACAGATTAGTAAGAAAGGTCTGGAGATCTGATTCTAAAATCAGTCAATTAAAACCTTATGAATCACGACAGAGTACAGCCTGATAGCATGCTGGAAGATGAGCTTCTAGGTTAGAAAGCCAAACACCAAACTCTATGCCAGCGAGTCGCTGCTGACTGCTAGAGACCCTAACACTGGACAGGGTAGAGCTGTCCAGTTTCTGAGATTCTGAGATTGGAAGTTCATGGGAGTACAACGCCTTGTCCTTCACCCGAGGAGCAGGTAGGTAGGTGGTGGTTTCAAACTGCTGACCTTGCAGTTAGTAGCCCAACTGATAACCACTACGTCACCAGGGCTCCCCTCCCTAGGTTAGAGGACACTTAACAATACAAAGCAGCCACAGCAATGGGCTCTAGTGTCTTAATGGTCAAGAAGCTGGCTCGGGCCAGGCCCTCCTTCGTTGTATCTGGTGTGGTTGGGAACCGGAGCTGACACGACAGGAACTACCAACCCCTGTGTCCTGGCAGGAGGAACGGAGGGGGAGCGGACATCAGGGACGTCTTAGACGAGCCACTTAACCTTCGTGACTTGGATCCTTGTGTAGCCAGAGCTAAATTCGGGCTCATAGGAACCCTATAGGACAGAGGAGAACAGATTGCTAGAGGTTTCAAGGCTGTACATTTTTTCCAAGGCAGACTCCCTCCTCTTTCTCTCCAGGAGTGCCCGGGTAATTTTAAGGGCTTGATCTTGGTGTTACCAACCCAGTATGTTTCCCAGGATTGCTCCTCATGTGGAGGGTGGAATAAATATAAAACTCACAGAGCGGTTGTGAACTCTGATAATGCTTCCATTAAGATGAAGGGAAACGAAACCACCATAGAAGATTCCGATGCAAGAGAGCTTCCTCTTTCCTTCCTAAAATGTTAGGCTCTGATTAAAGAGCCTTTATTTCTAGCTGAGATGCTATAGGCGTATGATAATGCTAAGTTCTCATTTGTATCATCATACAATGTTTCTTTGGAACATTCAAGAAAAATAAATAAGGCAGCATTCTGGCCTTCACATGCTTCTTAGTGCTAAGTTTTACTTACCTTGAGACTTCTACTCATACCGAGGAGTCATGGTGCATCGTGGGTTAAGGGCTGGGTTGCCGTCTGCAAGGCTGGTGGGTAAAAATCACCAATTGTTCCTCAGGATCAAATCAGACCGTATGCTTCTATAAAAATGTATCGTCTCAGAGCCTTAAGGCAGAGCCCTACTCTACCCTATAGGGTCACTGCGAGTTAGACTAGACTGGAAGGCGAGGGGTTTGGGTTTGGGTCTTTCTGCTCTGGTATCTTACCCTTTATGTTCGATTTTTGTTTTAAGATACCTTGGTGGATATAGGTTAGGGGAAAAGAGATAATTCTCTGCAGGGCGGTGTTTAAATTCAACACATATAGCTATAATGACCATCGGGAAGCAGAAGCATTATGGGATGTTACAAAGTCTACTTGATTTATACAAAGATAGAGCACAATTGGAGCCCAAGTGGCAGTTAATAAGTTAGCATGGAGCAGAGGAGAGAGAGCAATTCATAATCGTCATGTTTTAAGTTAACGGTTTCAATCCTCACGACATGTTTAATTCTAGGGTTTGGTAAGTATTGTGGAGTGACTGAGCTCATTACACCCAATAATAAATGCTTAGCTTAGGGCTGGCTAGGGTTACGGAAGGGGTGAAAAGGGTCTCTATTTAAGGTCTTCTCAGAATGGAACAGAGATATTATTAATCCATGACTCATAGCACTTTCAGACTATAGCTCTGGATTCATTCTAATAGACTTCTTGGAATTCATCATATTTTCTAAAGACATTCATGAATGTGGACAAATATTAACTTCATGTATGCGATTCCCTAAGGAAGCCTGGTGGGGGTGGGGGTGGGGGGGGGCCTGGTGGCAGTGTAGTGGGTTGGGCGCCTAACCGCAAGGTCAGCGATTCAAAAGCACCAGTCCCTTTGAGGAAGAAAGATGAGACTGCCTAGGCTCATAAACAATTTAGTCTTGGAAACCTCCAGGGGCAGGTCTCCCCTGTCCAGCAGGGTTGCTATGAGTCAGAATCCACTCGATGGCAATGGGTTGAGGAGCCTGGGTGATGCTGTGGATTAGGTGTTGGCTACTCATCTCAGGGTCGGTGTTTCTAGTTCGCTACCACTTCCCAGGAGAAAGATGAGGCGATCTGACCTCAGAAAGATTGACAGCCTGGCAACACTCTATATAGTGTCTCTTTGAGTCAGAATCACCTCGATGGCAGTGGGTGGGTAATGTGATTACTTGGTTCTGTCTCTACCTGGGGAGAAAGACGGAGCTTTCTACTCCTGTAATGAGTTACAGTCTTAGAAACCCATAGAGACAGTTCAACTCGGCCATAAAGGGTCCTTCTGAGTCAGCAGTGAGGGGGATTTTACTCTCTGTTTCTGTGTGTCTACCTTCATTTAAGCAGACAGATATAAAACGGCACTCATAGAGTACTGCATTTTCTACTGAAGTCTTGGAAGGCGTCCCTAGGAAAGCAAGATGAAGAAGACAGACCGAGACTCCCGAGCAGGAGCTGCCATGTTTTCACAGTCGGCTTGGCAGCCAGGGAAAGGACTCTTGGTCATTGGATAATGGGGATGACCACTAACCAGCTGCTGGGGGTCAAGCCAGACCATGGCCACCCGAGCGGGTCGGAGTAGACGTGTGCTCCATCACGTTTTCAGGAGTTGATTGCCACCACCTTCTTCTGGGGAGTTTCAGGGCCGACTTGCAGGTCCAGCCCTTTGGTTAGGAGCCAATTTGCACCCTGTGGAAATTCCACTGGGGCGAAGAGCAGGTACAGTGTGCTGTACAAAGCTTTTTAACGTGCCGCACTCAGAATGCTGAAGGGATCCTGGTGGTGCTGTGGATTGGACACCCCCATCACTGCTCTGGGGGAGAATGAGGCTGGCTGTTCTCCCTAAAGATTTTCAGTCTCCAAAACCCTATGTAGGGTTCCCGTGAGTCACAATTGATGAGACTGTAGTCAGTGGTTCTCACCCTTCCTTTCACACAGCTTATGTTGTGGTGACCGCCCCCCCCCCATAAAATTATTCTCGTTGCTACTTCTTATCATTTTGCTACTCTTATGAATCAGGTGAGCCCTGAGAAAGAGTTGGTCAACACCCAAAGGGGTCACAACCCACAGGTTGAGAACTGCTGGATCAGAGGGTTATTTTTAAAAAAATATTTTGTTTACTCAGCATAGCTTTGGCTCAACACTTCCAATAGCTTGTTGTTGATCTTATTATTATTGTTTCGGTTTGGGTTTCTTTTTTGGATGGAATAGAAATTTTCTTAAGGACTACTACGCTTGATATTGCCTTGGTTGAGACAAGAACAAAACTTGCCAACAGATATTTGTGAATATAATAACAAACTTTACCTAATGGACTATAGGACATCTGACACAGGTTTTGAGGTTGAACATTTCCCTCTTTCCAGATCTGAGGCCAAATTCTGTGTTCCATGTCTTGACAGTGTCTAACTTGTGTTGACAATTGACTTCCAGGAAATATCTTCTTAATCTTTTATCCTTATTAGGATGGTAATTTGAACAGAGAGCTTAAAAAAAGTCTTGGATGTTATTTGATCCCAGAACGAGACCGACTTCTTTAACAATAACAGAGCTAATATAATAAAAGCCATCAGGTTTGGGATATTTTATGAAAATGTTTAATTCAACTGTTTCTTTGGAATGTAGTAGTCATAGTTTGGAATTTAAGTTACAGTTCCGTTCTATGTGGTTCTTATGCTACTCAGTGTCTGAGAATACAAATGTCATTTAAAGTTAAGGCTTTGCTGTTCATTTTGAAACAACAATTTACAAGTGTCATATTGTCATAGAAAATAAAAATTTCTGTAAAAAAAATTTTCACAAAATTTTATGATGGTACAAAACATGAAGCAATAATATACCAGTAAAATGAAAACATTTTACTACAGAAAGGTTTTTTTATAGATTTCAATAAAGAAAAAAATATGTTATTTTACACCTTTAAACATTACAAAACAATCTAAAACAATATAAACCGAACATTTTGTAACACTGCCTTTACAAATTAATAACTTTATAAACATATAATTTTTAAATATATTTATCAGTGCAAGATACTTTAAAATTTAAAGTTGCAGTATCATTTTTCCTTGGTAGATGAACATTGAGTCTGTTGCCCGGAGGGAGAGATGGGAGCAAAGGAGGTCTTACTCTGCTTGCTCTTCTCAGTCTGATGGTAGCAACTGAATGGATGCTTCCAGGGACAAAACACCAGTCTTCTTTTATGGTAATCAATACTTTTCCTGGAAACAAAAGGCATTCTCCATCCAATTATACCAAGATGAATAGATTGCCCTGACTGATGGAAATGCCACTTGCCCCAAGTGCATCTGGGTAAGCTCTGCAGCTAGGCCAAAGACAGTCCATCTAAACATGATCACGCACCACACACCGTGACACAGACACACCCGAATTAACCCCGCAGTCTTTGGGTTAATTCACACACTGCCTTGGTAAGATACTCACTTTGCCAACCCGACATCCAGCCCTTTCTTCATGAGCATTTGGGAATTTATCTGGAAGCATTCATTCAAGCTTGTGCGTGCGTCTTTCCAGGTTTGCTGCTGAACGGATTTATTTAAACATTTGTTTTGACTTTGCTCCTTCCTTTTCCCTCCCCCTTATCTTAAAATACATCACCTCAGGCACCAGGCTTTATAGTTCCTTTTTTAAATTATCTCTTCTTCGTTCCACTTCCCTTGTTTGATTCAATAGCAAAATAGGAATGCTCTCAGGGGCCATTTTTGCTTATGTGGATGTAAAATTTCACGGGTTATTTTATGTGTGTGTGTGCATGCACACGTGTTACTGTTGTGTATTTAGAAAGTCCTTCCTTTGAGTCTCACACTTGAAAGCCAATTAATGATTTCTTCCCTTGACTGATCAATACATCTTCAACGCAAACATTTCATCAATGAGCATTTCAATCAGGATAGACAGACAAATGGCTTCAGGAAAAAAGATACTGTCTCTTTAACCAGTTAACGAGAAAACCAAAGTTAGACTTTGGAGGGCAAAGTTAGGAATTTCCCTTATTGATTTATTTTTAAACATAAAGTCTAGTAAAATCGGTTTGCCACATCCAGTAAGGTTAAAGCTGCAAGTTTCTTTTCTGGACAGTGGCCAATGCTTAAACTCTAAGAGGGCAAAAAAGACAGAGAGCTAGGAAAGAGAGCGAGCGAGAAAGCCTTTACATTTGAAAATACATTCCATACGAAAGAACAATAAGAGAGAATATTGCAGCTTTATACAAAAGGGTCAAGAGACATGAAATTGAACGGTGGGAAAAAAAAAGCAGAACAAGTAAGCCACGTTGCCAAGTCTTCTGAGCCCTTTCCTTCCCCGGGGCTGACGTCTCACACTAAAATATACTTTCTTCTAGTCAGTGGGCCACCAGGGCTTGATTAGAGTCGGGCTGTCACCATTGAGGAACGGGGGTGGGCAGTTAAACACAACACAACGAGAACCAGTACAAACAAAAAGGCACTTGAGAGGACACACTAGCTAGTGCCAAGGATTTTTCGTTGTGTTGTCGGTAGAACACCCAGTTGCCAACAGTGTTTGGGGGCAGCCCGGTTTTCTGCATGGAGTTCACAAGCACGAGGTTTAAGTACAACACTGGAAAACATCAAGAGAATTTGACGGTATTGCTTCGTAAACAGAGCTGACACACTATACCGGTACGGAGGCTACGGTACGTTTAAACGAAAACCAAAAACATTCTAATCCTTCTTTGCCTATGCACAACACGGCCGATTATACACAGGTAGAGCTGCAGGAGTCCACGGTAATGCGGTGAGATTCTAATAGCATCTGGGCACAGGGATAAAGGTAGCATGTCCATCAAAGGGGACCCACTGAGTTCACTTGGTGCCAGCATCTTGGATTTTGCACAGTTTCCAAAGAGATTCCATAAACGGGAAGGGGGTGCGGGTGGGGGTTGAGGGGGTGGAGAGAGAAAGAGAGAAAGGGGTTGGGAAGGAGGAGGTGAAACTGAATCATTAAATCAATCATCCTTGGTCTCAACACCAGCATCTGATTGATTATTCCATTGAAACCCACAGAAACGAAAAAGGCGACTGTACATGATTCGGATTGTTCACACCGCTCCCTTGTTCAGGTCTGTCGGCTATGCTCATTGAAGCTCCTGAGAAAAGCCTGGCTCAGTGTCCTCCACGCACTTCCCAGGTTGGAAGAGAAGTCAAGCCCCACAGTTCCCCAGCACGCTCAAGTCCCGTCCTTCCTTCCGCTTCACTTCTCCCATTCGCCTGGTCATCTCTGCCTGCCTTCATGCCTCCGAATAGGTGCTCTGTGTATTCAGTTTGTCCTTTTTCAACTTCACACCGTCCACAAGTTCAAAGTTATAGTTCTCCAAGGCAGACAAGTTTCTCTCAGACATGCCGTTGTGCCAACAGGCGCAATACAGCACCACCCCACAGACGGCCCCCAGCAGGACCCCCAGGGCGCTCATGGCGATGATGGTGATGAGGATGGGGTCCAGGGTCTTCAGCACGTTGCCCGGCTTCTTTAGGATGTCCTTGGTACCTTCTCCGGTGCCTTTGTATCCTGGCGTGCTCCCTATGGGGTGGGCGGGGTGGAGGGAGGAGGACAGAATTGGTCCCATGAACATTGCTGACTTGCCAGATGAAGACAGACAGACAGACAGGCAGAGCAATGGATAATCACAAGGCCCACCCTTGCCTGTTGTCTTCCAAAAGCCTGCATGGGGAGTTTTGGAATGACATTGGGCAACCTCATCACCTGGAGCCGCCAACGTTTACATTAGACTCAAGCTTGGGCACCGAGTTGAAGGCGATGGGAAGCGGTAATTCTGCATAGAGTTTAGAGCCCTGGTGCTGTCGTGGTTATAATTTGGTTAGCACATGAAAAATCCTGATTCTAGCTCAACAGTGAGGGCTATCTTCTAATCACATTCAGATGCTTGCAGTCCTCCATCTGGGCTGGGCTGTAAGCTGTGTTTAGAGTCCAGGGCCAGATATGTGCTCATTAAGCGCTGCAAGCTGCTTAGTCACACGCGTGTCTAGGGGAGGCATATAAACTATTCCCTGTGCATTTGCCTGATTCTAAAACCAGACACGAGGAGACCTTCAATGCTGCCCTGGTGTTGCAGTTTCCAGGGTCTGGGCACAGCTTTATACACGTGCTTGTTCTCCCAAGTGTATAATCTTCAAACCAAACAAACGTTTCCAGCCTACTGCCGCAAGCCCACCGTGGTCTCACTCAAGTGGGGCGAGCCTTCAGAGCATGTGAATGCTCACAGCCAACATTTAAAAAGCTCCATGGCGCAAATCTGGAAATGGCGCGAGGGCTATGCCAGATAGATCACACTTAATAGTCAGCATCTCTTCAGGCCCAGTGGTTTCACTGGGGACAGTTAGACCACTCTGCAGTTTGGCCACGGGGGAAATGGTTTCTTTAGAGTGGAACACGAGAAACTACTAATATGGGGGCGTCATTGAGTCTCATTACCTAGTACTAGAAACGAGACTAAAATGCGAATGGACAACATGCGTGGGGTTTACTTAATGGTGTTCAGATCAACTAAGATTCCCATCCAGGAAAACTGGAATTATGAGGTGCCAAGTCCCTAAACAGGGGAAAACTAGCCAAGGAGCCATATTAATAAACCTCCTTTGATGAAGCATTGGTTTGAGATGACTTTTAATAAAGTTTGCTTCTCAGAGTAGACTTGGAGCTGAAATGAGCCAGATATTAATATCATTAGTAGCATTGCACTATATTAATTTGGTTCTATTGGGTTTGTGTCTGGCTAAAAAGACGATTGCATTTTAAACAGAGACAGAGGCTGATACACCACCCTGGCCATGGTGTGGTCCTGCCTGCCATCCACTATCCAGAGCTGCTAATCTGAGGGATACGGAATGTCTTCTATGTGGTGATAAACCAGTGCTTAACACGTGAAAACACATGTGTTAGAGGGAATTTGTCTAAATATGATGCTGCTCTCCAATTAACTAACTGTGAATTTCAGTCTTATCATCTGAGTTTCAGTCTTATTATCTGTAAAGTGGGGATAAACACACCTTAGGGGACTGCAGCGACCCTTACACAAGGTGAGGTATATCGTGTCCTTTGAATGTAGTTTTCCCTTGATAAGTCCCTATTCCGCTTTATATCATCATGATAAAACCAGCATCCCAGCAGAGTAGGAAGGGACATTTGGATTCTAGTCCCTTACAGAAGGAATCTTGAGAAGATCCCACTCCTGGCTACACATAGGACAGGGCAGACCTGTCTCTGTGGGTTTCAGAGACTCTAATGCTTTACAGGAACAGAAAGCGCCATCTTTCTCCCGAGGAACAGCTGGAGATTCCAATTAGTGACCTTGTAGTTGGCAGCCTGATATGTAACTACTCCACTACCACGGTTCCTCAGTGGCCTGCTATGGCCCTTAAACAAAATGGTAGTGGAAAAATTCCATTGCCTTTGAATTCCACTTCTCCACAGACGGTTTTTCTTTTGGAGCTCCCTGTACGAGCTCCAAAACCATCTGGAAGGGTTTTGAAATGAGCTCTGGACACCATCCTAAATCCTCAGGCACGTCTCCACTGGTTCTGTTTCTACAGTTGTCAAATGAAAATGTGTCACTCGATGTTCCTAAGGCCTCCTCTGAGCTCAGACAAAGGAGGAGGGCCAGTGCGCTTCTTCTAGGCTCCACTGCTTACACAAGCCGAACCATCCCAGACTCCCTGCAGGAGAGGGGTGCTCTTGGGCAGCAATGCAGTCAATAGCCCAACTCAGACTCTGGGCATAGATGTACAGTCTCTTTGAATGGCGCTGATCTACCAATGTATGAGCATTGCCTACAGCGTCTTCTTTAGCATATTAATAACGACAGTGATTTAAAACAAAATGGAAAAAGGTCATCACATTTACCTGCTTCATCCATTTTATTTTCTGGATGCTTTTTATCCTGGTCCACTGGCTCTACAAATGAAACAAAAGAGAAAGAGATGCATTGAGTTGTCAATAAAACACAACATCTACCCCGCCGCCTCTGCACACTCATTCTAGAACCACACACACATAGGCCTCTTATGGGCTTCTGTTCAAGTTGTTAGTATAATCAGATTTTACGAAACGGTCACAGAGCACTGGAGAATCAATATTAAATGACTATGGAATTGGTGACTTGGGGCACACCACTTTCTTTGAAGTGTCAGATGTACTCTGCTTTTAACAGAGTGTATTTTAGGAGAAGAAAGGGGTGGAGAGACGTGGGTTTAAGTACCTAGAGTGTTGGAGGAATCTGATGAAAACCGGGACTAGCAATGAGGCTGTAGAGATGGCCACCATCCCATACTTGTTAGGCACTAGCTTCCTAGGGTTGATGGGTGTCAGACTGGCTTCCCAAACAGTCTCTAAGTGTATTGAGTCAAGAGGCCATGGCCTCAACCTTACCAAAAAAAATTTTTTAAGGCTATGGAAGGAGTAGAGTCTTAGCTCTATGGTATCAAGTCTACAGCAGCTACTAATTTTGTTCACTACTGTATTCTTAGCACACGATTGGTGCTTCAATAAATATTTACTGTATGAATGAATGATTAATAGTTCATAACCTAATATCATTCATGAACTATTCCAGAACATATTTAATCCATTGATGACTACAATTTACCTTCATCCACCACCTTAACCCACTGTCATCAGCATCGATTCTGACTCATGTTGTCACATCAGACAGAGCAGAACTGTTCCTGAGGATTTTCAAAGCAGACAGCCTCATCTTTCTCCTGAGGAGCTGGTGGATTTGAACTGTTGACTTCATGGTTAGTAGCCTAACACACAATCCACTAAGCCACCAGGGCTCCTTCAGTTACCTTAGGCATCTTTTGATTGATACAATAACATGGGAACCATTGTTAACAGAGCTCTGATTGCTCCAAGAACAATGCCTTGCAGCAACTACTGCTATGTAGAGCCGTTCTGTGAACAACAAAGACTTAGAGAATTACCTTAGCTATCTAGGCAGTCGGAATAACACCTGGCATGCTGCTTTGAGAACAGTATGTGATCAATTAAAACGTATTGAACTTTGGTTTCTTTGCTTGGTTTGTGCGCTGGTTCTGACGTTCCAAAACCATCATTACATCACTCTCAGTGGATTATATACATACACAGCGTAACTACAGGAAATATACACTTTAGCAGTTTTGTAGGCTTGAATGTGGATCATCTATAAATAGTTGCGACTGAGAAACTAAGCCTGTTTTTTTTGTTTGGGGTTTTTTTTGGGGGGGAGGGGAGTGTTGGATTTTATTAGCAGTGTGCCATGAAACAGATTTCCTAATACAAAGAAGCAGGTTTTTATTCACTGTATCTGTTCCCCAATTTCTTCAATTGACCCTATCGTATTATTGCCACTCTTGGGATTACATATGCTCAATATATTGTACCTTAAAATCTCTGTCTGTTGTGAAATGACCCCAAACCCAGTTAGCCAACAGGCTTCCTTTGTCTTAAGCTTGCCCAATAGGCTCATTCTATTTTGTTCTAATTAACATCCTCTTATGTAATGATATGGAACAAAAGTTTAAGTGTAGCAAATGGAGCTTAAGACTAATTATTCTGCTATCACATTGCTATCAGTGAGGCTATTTGTAATTATATGCCAAGAACTAGGGAATATGAATTGCTGACTTTTATTTTCTAATGTCAGACTTTCATTTGTTGCGGGCCAGACCAATAAGGACCAACTCTGAAAACACTAGACAGAGCCTCTGAATTCCATTCCCTCTTTGGAGTCACTGCCATGGGTTTAAAGTCAGAACTGTCGAGTGACTTATAATAAAGTAGAGAATTACGGCTTTGATGATTCACTGGCAATGGGTCCTTTATTAAATTCACCACCATCAAAGTTTTCAGAGGTCTGTTGCTTTGTTTATGCATTCAGGCATTTGGAATGACCCAGATGTTTGAGGTTACCATCAACATTTCTGGTATGGTGTCTACAGCTTGTCCGTGTCGTGAGTCCTTCTTCTTTGCCGCAGTCTTTTAGTCTACTTTCTATAGGTCCTTTTGTGGGTACCAAGCTGATCATCTAATGGACTAGACTGGTTAGGCCATAGGCTTGCTAAAGGTAAATTAACCTGATGTTATGCCCTGTGGAGCTGGAATATGCTTGCCATATGGTGTGCCTATAGCGCACATAGAAACGCTAGGTCTAAATGAACAAGACAAAGACTGTTATATGCTAGGACTCTTGCTCTGGGCAACTGCTTCATTGCTTCGGACAGCAACTCATACTTACTTGCACAGTCCTCTTGTGAAATGTGGTTATTAATACTAATGTCATCAACTGCAATCCCGCCAAGGTTTCCTTTTCCGATTTCGCCTTCAAAAATCACCTAGCAAAAATGAGATCATTTCCACAGCATTTCAATATTAGTACCAAACATTGGTGTTTACAAATGCTTGTTCAGCTCCAACCACAGCACATAAATTAAATCCACGAGGTTTCACATAAGCACACACTTTGCTCATCAATCAACATTTGCTGCTGCCTGGTGATGGCATAAAACTTGTCGTCTTTGCTCCTTTTTTTTTATTTAACATAATGCAGAATTTAGAGCTGGAGAAGGCAGCACATAACAGGCACGATCCACTGGGAGAGCCTGGAAATAGATGGCACAGTAGCATCTTCCCATCCTTCTTAGCGAAGTTCTTTTCCAATAATCTGAGCCTGAGAGATACTACCTCCCGAGATGACCATCTCTCAGGCTCATGAAGCACCGGGGAGAATTTGTGAAACAATTCTTCCATCACATTGGCATTATTGCCATTGTTAGCTGCCATGTCGTCAGCCTCCAATTCATGACAATCCTATAGATCACAGAGTAGAACTGTTCCCTAGGATTTTCTTGGCTAATAATCTTTATAGCAGCCTGTTGCCAGACCTTTTCTTCCATAGAGCCTCTGAGTGGGTTTTGATCTGCCAATCTTAAAGTAAGAAGCAACCTCAAGATGGTCAACAGCTCCCTCCGGTGCAACTTGCCCTCCCCAACTGAGATGAGGGACCCTACCTGGTAAAGCTTCAGAGACTTGTGCAGCAGAACACGCCCCTCCTTCCAGTGATCGCCTTGGTGTCCAATGACCATCCAGACCAACTGGTCATACTCATCTGGCTTCTGGTAGCGTAGCTTGACCCGCAGCGTGCCCACGTGGGAACCCGACATGTGATACCAGAAGGTCAGGCAGTGGGCTGAGTTCTGGGAATAGACCACGGGGCTCACCAGACGGGCCACTTTGCCCTTCTGGTTCTCATCCGCTTGGGAATAGATGAAGTTGCCATCTCCTGCTGCGGCAAAAACCAACTGTGTTAGGAAGAATGGCCACCTGCTTGACCTTTTGTTCCTATCAAGTTCCACCAATCAATGCTTCTCTCGCAGGCTGAGCACTGAGCACCCAAGCACCCAATGGGAACAGAGCTGTTGGGAAACGTCTTCGATACCCACAGCTTTGCTCTTGGCCTCTCTGGATGGACAGTTGAGTAGGGAAAGGGTCTGCAGTAACCCAGCATCGGTTTGGACAGTCAGGTTTGAAAGGCACTGTCCTAGGAAGGCAGGCTGAGGCTGCGGTCTGCGTGAGCATCGTTGTCAAAGCAAGCAGGAAAGCCCAGAGCAGATGGGAAAAGATTCCGCAGAGGAGGAGACCAGTTTCCATGCCATGTTGAGTTCCCTTCAGCACCACCCTTTGAAGACCAAGTTTAAACGGGATCGTTGAGATGTAGTCTCCCTGGTCAGCAGAGCCGCAGATCTGCCGTTGGCTGATACTTCGGTCACTAGATCTGATAACAGAGCCGCAATTTTGCCTAATGATCTAGCAATCACTGTTTGTCTGGCTTATTTTCCCTTTCCCTAAATCGAGAAGATATTTCCCCAGTCATTTATTTCATGGCATATAAACCCCTCCAACCCACCCGAGAGCCCGATTCTCTCCTGCCAACTCCACTCCTGTTTGATGTGGGGTTCTGGTTCAAGAAGAGGCAAGTTTGCATTTTTGAGGCTCATTCGAATGTGCCATCTTGGCAATGTAGACACTCGCTGAGCTGCTAGGACTTACTTGGCTTGGCTTTTAATTACCCCCAGTGGGAATGTTTTCTCCTGCCTCCACCTGGTCTAAACACACAATTCATGTTTCACTGTTTGTGCTGCAAATAGAAATTATCTCCTCTACTGCCTCACCTGATGTAAGTGTGAATCGCGGCTCTGGCCTCCATGGACAGGGGAGATGTTTTGTTTGCTGCTCTAGGAAGCAGGTGTATCTGTGAGGTGCTTCTTCAGTGTGTATACGTGGGCATGTCCTTGCGTCTGTTCAACTGCGTTGCCAGTGTCCATGTGGACGTGGAATGTGTTAGCGGGGCAGAATTTTTTCACTGAGGAAGAAGCCTTGGTGGTGGAGTAGATTGCATAATGGGCTCCTACCCACAAGTTCAGCAGTTTGAGACCACCAGCCACTACAAGGGGGAAAGAGGAGGCTTTCTTCTCCCGAAGAGATTCCCATTCTCTGAAACCCTCAGGGGCAGTTCTACCCTGTCCTATAGGGTCGCTGTGAGTCAGAACCGATTTGAGGGCAGTGTTTTTGGCTTTAGCTGTGTTTATAGGGCACTCTTAAGGAACGTCACATTCTTAATTAAACCAATAAGTGAAAGAGCTAAGGAATAACTGACTTAAGTCACAGCCCCAGGTTCAATGCTGACTCTGAGAAGTGTCTGCCTGTGACTGAGCAGACTCAGCCACTTCTGGGTTTGTTTGATCCCATGTTGGTTTACCCAGTTGGAGTCAATTGTGTCCACTGAGTTGAGTAAGGAATGATTCCACCAAGACAGACAGACAGGTTTTTTAAAAAGTCCCCATCTTACCCCTACCGCCGCCTGGTCTTAAGGGGAGAGACTGAAGTTGGATCTGCTGGAGAGTAGGGACACATTTACTGAGTCCATGGGGTGTCTTGGGGCTCCTCAGAGACTAGCTGGGAAAGGGGATGGCAAGGGGGCATGGGGAAGGGAGAAGGTTGCCTGAGAAGTGTCTTATGGCCTCTGCTTTGCTGCCACCAGGGGCTTTTCAACTTGGGCCCAGCGGGTCCTCACCACCCCAAGACACTCCACCCTCCTTCACAGAGCAACCAAGGCCGTGTCTTTCCTGCCACATGTTCCTCATGGCATTTACCCACTCACATTACTCTCAACCGCAGCACCCACTACTTGGTCCTTCACAGGCTGTTTCTTTAGTTTCTTCAACCCCCAGCTTAGCCCATCTCTAAGACAAGCCAATTGTGTTCCCCTACAAAACGCGTTGAAGTCCTCTCCCTGGTACCTGGGAATACGACCCGGTTTGGGAAATGTATCTTCTTTGAAGGTGTTAGCAGTTAACACAAGGTCATAGCAGACTAGGGTGGATGTTCATCCCTGCCGAGTGGGGACTTGATGAGATAGAAGAGATAGAGATAGGAGTTGCCAAGGTGAAGACCAAGCCAGAGACTGGAGTGCTATAGCTGCATACAAGTTCAGGAATGCCAAAGATGACCAGAAGCTAGGAAGAGGCTAGGAAGGATCGTCCCCTAGCACCTGCAGATGGAGGATGGTCCTGCGGATACCCTGGTTCATGACGCCCAGCCTCCAGAGCCGGGGTCACACCCTTCTGTTGCTTCAACCCTCTAGTTTGTGCGGCTCTGTTAGCAGCTCTAGGAACCAAGACACCTCCTAGCTTATCTTTTCACTATCATTCTCACCTCTTCATGGGAAGTTCTCCCCACACTGCTTTGTAATGGCTTCCCACCCACAACCTCAAAAGAGCTCAATGTCGGAGGAAGCCTCCTTTGCTTCCCCAGCGCCTGCCATAGCAGCCACACGACAGGTGCCAGGCATGCTCCTACAAGAGGCCTGCAGTGAGCAGCCGACGTGGGACTCCAGGGCATGACTTCCTTCTTGGGGGTCAAGGGAAGAACCCTGAGTAGGGTCCATTTAAGGAAGTTCAATATCAGGCAGCTGAGAATTTTACTGGGCCATTGCTAACTAACACTAATCTCAGAAAAAACCAAACCCAAACCCCTCCATATGTGATTTGCAGTTTCTTCCTTCCAAGCTGTCAAAAACAAGTGACATATGACATGTGATGTCATGATTTGTGTCCGTGCTGCAAATGGGCTCTTTGTATGGAGATTTGTTTGACATTCACCCGCCCTCCTTTCAGAAGTTGGTCTCACCCATCTCTGTCTCTGTCTCATCTTTCACGGTCTGATTGGGTTTTGATTTTTCGCAAGGGCTGTAGAAGCTTCTGATTTCTAGTAAGGACAGACTCCCCATGTAACGGCTCGGTCAAACTGGGTGGCAAATCTTTCTTAAGACAGGACAGACAGCGCTTTTCAGCTGGTAATTTAAGACAAGCCCTACTTTTCTGATACCCCAACACATACAGCGCTGATATTTCTTTCCTTTCAGGGTTTTTATCACAGTTCTGGGTCAGGAACTCTGTCTTCATTTTCTCAATTAGCACTTTACTTCTGTAAGCCTTTTAGCTTTTGTCTCTGGCTAACATAGCTTTTAACCTCCTTTGAATGTCAGATCCTACTGAGCCATTTTGCTTCACTTTGCATGCATTTTTCCACCATTACTGCCTTCATTTCAGCTAATTGCATTTAGTTAATTTGATGCCATTTATATGTACAGTGCCATTTACAGTCAAAGTATTTTAAGTTTTCTAAAACTGCTTGTCTTAAAGATTCAATTCAAAGTGTCTCAGAATTGAAGGAGTCCAATTTTATCCAATTTCCTTGTCATTCTCATTAGGCAAGGAGGTAGCCAGGGTAGAAGGAGGCCTATTCAACCTACTTAATGGTTATATTCACAGGGGGAAAAAAAGAGAACAACACAACGAGAAGGGCACGAAGTGTCCTCTGCCCATCCATTGACTCACTGCCCCACTCCTCCCAAATACCAGCCAGGGGAGAGCTTTGCTTAATGAGATTTCTTGGCATTCACCAATGGTCCTCTGGAGTATTTTGGGGGAAGCCACTCTCTGAGTACACTGTTCTCTGAGGGCCTCCCTGGGTAAGGGAGCAGCTTGTGGTTTAGGGGTTTGCTAGGTTGTGTGTCACAGGATGCCGCTGGCTTTTTACACCACACCTCAAGTTCTGATAAAGTGATTGGGAGAAAAATGATGCTGTCGCGGGGAAAGGCAGTTCCCTAGAGCGGCTGTCAGCCTTCTCTGTCCCCTAGTCCCTCCAGCCAGCCTTAGGAAATGAAGTGAATGCTCAGATGGAAAGGAAGGCCAAGAAACGGTAGGTGGTGAAGCGAGTTGAGAACCGCGGCATGCTGAGGTTCCCATCTGGGCGGAGGGACTGTGTTAGATCTGAACTCCCCGTCAAACACCAGAATCTCTACCTCCACTGCCAGGGTCAAGAGTGAGCAAGCCTCAGGCTTGTTTAGCTGAGAAAGAAAAAAGATCACTATCTATAGGCAGAGATGCCTTGAAGTCAGTCAGAATTAGGGAACATGGGATGATGAGATATCCCGTGATTTGATGATTGTTGATGAAGTAGGGCAGCGGTTCTCAACCTGTGGGTCGCGGCCCCTTTGGGGGTCTAACAACCCTTTCACAGGGGTTGCCTGATTCATAACAGTAGCAAAATTGCAGTTATGAAGTAACAACGAAAATAATTTTATGGTTGGGGGGTCACCCCAACATGAGGAACTGTGCGGAAGGGTTGTGGCATTAGGAAGGTTGAGAACCACTGAAGCAGGGGGATGTACAGAAAGAGTTCACTATCCTATTTTTTTTCTTACGAAGATGTTAGAGATTTTCCATAATAAAAAGTCACATATAAGGCAGGTACTGTTCTCACACTCTGATCCAGTTTGCTATTGTTCACAGAGGCAAACTCATGGCCAGTTCAGCGATCACTCGCTCTTCCGTGCCTTTGTGTGTCTACTGGAGAGACGTTTTTTGTTGCTTTTGTTAGTTGCCATTGAGTCCATGCTGACTCAGCACGGCCCCAGGTGCAGAGTATAATCGCCTTAGAGGGGTGCCCAGGCTGTGATCCCTCAGAAGCTTGTCTTCCAAGGGGTTTTGGGGACAGTTTGAACCGCCAATTTTTTAAAGGACTAGTTGAACACCTAGCTCTCTGTGCCACCCAGGGACTTGAAGAGAGACCTTATAAACTCCACTAAGTAAAAGCATCCAGGAACACTTGGGAGCATCTTTCCCACCCACCCACCCACCTGCCTTAAAGTCACAGGTAGCTCAAAGACCTCCGATTAGAAGAGAATTTGCACAGAATGGGAGACCCGCAGTGAGCACCCGTTACCTGTGTGATCCTGAATTGGGCCCGTCTTGCTGGTTAAGACGCTCCACCTGAGCTGCACGTGACTGTCGTGTTCCCAGTGACAGAAGGTCTTGTGAGAGCCCCAGCCGAATTCACAGTTGAAGCCGTAGGCTGGGAACTCTTCCGAGGGTGGGAGGGAAAAACAGAGAGAAGTTCATCATTGAGGGTCACAAAGTTGCATAGAAATCACCATTCACCTCACTTAGCTTCCCTTTAAAAGATTCTGGGAAAGCCACCCAATTCAAGATGTCCAGGAAACGTGAAAGAGGCCTGGAGATGTCAAAATTACATGTAGACATTTCTCTCTCTCTTATCATTTTAAATCCAGCTTAAGAAAGATTAGACTGCCTGTCAAATTGTCGTTTCCTAAAATTTGCAGCAAGGTTGCTTTCAGGAACAGGTTGTTTTATACCTGCCTCTCCCTATTTCCAGAAGGTTTCATGAGAGAGAGGCTCACCCCGCTCTTGAGGATGCGTCCTACAAATTGGTCTAACCAATGAGAGGAATCTGCATTCGAGACTGACCCCGCTGCTTCATCAGTCTTGACACGTGATGGGGCGTCGTGCCTCCACGTGGAAGCTCTCTAGTCTCACCCTGTTTTAAGCTTCCGGGTCTAGAGTGTCAGGGAAGAGATCTCTGAAGCATTTTAAGAGGTTTTGGGGATTTTTTAAATTCTTTTTTTTTTTCTTATGTGCTTCACACCAGGTCCATTATTTTAACTGTCCATATATGTGCTTTTCCCCCAGGAATTTAAAAATCTACATACAAACTGTAAAATCTCCACGGAAGGTCATGGGAAAACTGCAGACACTTTAAAAAAAACAACATTTTCACTGTGTCCCGGGGAATCAGAAAAGCAAGCCAGGATGCATTCGCCGAGCGAGTGCGTCTTCTCAGGCCCTCTGCGAGGTGCAATTTGACGGCCGTGTTTGCTCAGACGAATAGCCTTCGTTCTGCCTCAGCCACTTTGCCCAAAAGGAGCTCTGCTTTTTAAAGTCTGGGAAACCCCAAACGGTCCATGTTTGGAATTCTTTTCGCGGGCTCGAGCTAACAAGAACAAGAATCCTGCCGATGAAATCATCATGCTTCTTGACGGCCCCACCTCCACTCGGCTTCCAAACAAACACACGACACACAAGCAGACACACAGACAAACGACGGCCATCGGGTCCAGTCTGGCGCGTGGAGTGGAACTGCTCCCTGGGGTTTGCAAGGTTGTCGCCCTTCGTGGTGTGAGACCGACCACTCACTTTCTCGCGGGAGAGGCACGCGGTTCAAGGGGCTGACCTTGGGGGCAGAGCCCAACTCCTACCCAGGCGGCCACGGGGCTCCCTCCCAGTAGACCATCCAAAGGTCCTTTGTCTTCTGTAATCCAGGAGGGACTCGGCTTCTCACCGAGTTTACGTCATCCACAAGATGGCAGCATTGAAACGGAAAGGGGGGAAGGCACTAGGGCGGGTTGTCAGCTGAACTTCAAAAACAAACAACCCTCAAAAAAAAGGAGCCTTGTTGTAGAAGGGACATCCGGATTAGGGCCAGGCTGGGTGTCTGTCAAGTGTGGGGGCTTCAGCTTTGACCTGGTGTCTAACCCAGAGCAGTTTGCCTTCTCCCCTGAAGTCCCCCGGTGGGTCCTCCCTTGCCGTAGCAATGGGGCTGGGGGCTTTTTATTGAAGGATGCCCTTCTTGTCATGTTTCCTTTCCAAGGAATTCTCTTCAAGTGCTGATGGCAAGTTCTGGAAGGAACATACCATCTGAACGGTCAAATTGGAGTTGGCTGACCCTGAGGTGTCGGCCATGACCTCTCACAGGGAGGACACGGTCCGTTTGGGAAAGGAAGCTACTAAGTCAGATCACTGTACTCGTACATAATGCGGGCGCTTGCATTTCGTGGGAAAGGGCTGTATTTCACAGCGACAGTGTG